ATATCAAAATCCTATCGCGGTGCTCTTCGGTGAGTGTCGAGATGGGCCGACAATTTTACTTTGAACAAATTAGAGTGCTCAAAGCGGGCTCAAAATGCCGCTTGAATATTTCGTGCATGGAATAATAGAATATGATCTCGGTTCTATTTTGTTGGTTTTCAGAACTCCGAGGTAATGATTAATAGGGATAACTGGGGGCATTCGTATTGCGACGTTAGAGGTGAAATTCTTGGATCGTCGCAAGACGAACATCAGCGAAAGCATTTGCCAAAGGTGTTTTCATCAATCAAGAACGAAAGTTAGAGGTTCGAAGGCGATTAGATACCGCCCTAGTTCTAACCGTAAATATGTCATCTAGCGATCCGCCGACGTTACTACAATGGCTCGGCGGGCAGCTTCCGGGAAACCAAAGATTTTGGACTCCGGGGGGAGTATGGTTGCAAAGCTGAAACTTAAAGGAATTGACGGAAGGGCACCACCAGGAGTGGAGCCTGCGGCTTAATTTGACTCAACACGGGAAATCTCACCAGGCCCGGACACCGGAAGGATTGACAGATTAACAGCTCTTTCTTGATTCGGTGGGTGGTGGTGCATGGCCGTTCTTAGTTGGTGGAGCGATTTGTCTGGTTAATTCCGGTAACGAACGAGACTCTAGCCTGCTAAATAGGCGTCGTCATTTAGGTGTGCGCGATTTCGGTCGAGCAACTCACTGGCGACGTATTAAAATTCTTCTTAGAGGGACCGGCGTCTTCGAGCCGCACGAGATTGAGCAATAACAGGTCTGTGATGCCCTTAGATGTCCTGGGCCGCACGCGCGCTACACTGAAGGAATCAGCATGTTCTCCCTGGCCTAGAGGCCCGGGCAACCCGTTGAAACTCCTTCGTGCTGGGGATTGGGGTTTGCAATTATCCCCCATAAACGAGGAATTCCTAGTAAGCGCGAGTCATAAGCTCGCGTTGATTACGTCCCTGCCCTTTGTACACACCGCCCGTCGCTACTACCGATTGAATGATTTAGTGAGGTCTTCGGACCGACACGCGGTGGCTTCACGGCCGTCGGCGTTGCTGGGAAGTTGACCAAACTTGATCATTTAGAGGAAGTAAAAGTCGTAACAAGGTTTCCGTAGGGGAACCTGCGGAAGGATCATTAACGTGTTGCGTGCGTTTTCGTCTATTCACCAATGCAAAAACGGTGATGCGCGAAAATATATCACGAATCACGAAGATAAAAAGAGAATTTTTTTCTTTTGGCTCACGTCTGTTCTCGTATATTTCGACACTATACGCACACTGAAAGACGCCCGAAGGCTGTCGCTGTTCGCAATATGCGTGTATACAATGCGACTGTCGCCATATAACGCGTAACGCGCGCCGTCTCGCCGCTTTGAACGTCATAGTCACCTGACACTATGTGTGCGGGGGGTAGAACCGACGGTGTACGTAGTGAATTGTAGATTGCGAGAAGCGCGACGCAGACCGGTAAAAATCCGCACCGCGAGTCGCTCACTCAATATCGTCACTATAGAGTCCGCCGCCGTCCTCCCGTCCATTATGTCGATGAAAACTGCGCTCTGGCGAGCGAATGCGGCGCCGTTTAGCGCGGCGTCAGTCAGTCTTGTATCGTGCGGCGTACAGTGGTCAGTCGTCGCGCCCGTTCGTTCGGTGTGTTTGTCGATATTGCGAGAGAGAACTGTGAGTCAAAACGAGAAACACGAAATATTATGCGGTCATAGATGAAGGCTCGAGCTCGCGGTAAACGCGGGTGCTCGTCCGGATTCTATCTGACGTTGATCGCGCGGTTCGTCCGCGCGTTCATCAGTTAAAACACGCAAAACAATAATATTTTGTTATTGTTTTGCGAGATAGATGGAGAGAGAAAGTGATGACACGTTACAATCTAAAAACAACTGAAACTGTGCGCAACAGCACAAACCATTACCCTGGACGGTGGATCACTTGGCTCGCGGGTCGATGAAGAACGCAGTTAACTGCGCGTCATAGTGTGAACTGCAGGACACATTTGAACATCGACATTTCGAACGCACATTGCGGTCCGTGGAGAAACATCCAGGACCACTCCTGTCTGAGGGCCGGCTGCATAAAAACATAAGCCACACTGTTCTCGCTCGACGACTATGTCGTCCGAGGAGTTCAAATGGCGGCTCCGTCGCGTGCTCAGCGTCGCGCGGTCCGCTTAAATATAAGACCAAAGGCGTGCACTTGCGTGCGCGCGCACGACGCATAGCGCGTAGTGCGTCGCGTCAGCGAGTGCCGTCGTCGTGTCTCTACACACGATACGATCGAACGTCCAGAGAGACGTGTGCGGTGGGGGGAGTGGCGGCGTGCCGACCTTCCTGTACCCTTCGAGATTCTTGAGAGGGTCCACGGGACAGGTCGCGCGACGCCGCGCACCCCCCGCTACGCTAGCTCTCTCGCCTAGCGGCGGTTCGATCGTGATTAAAGTAGGCGGACTCGACGTCCGAAGTGCGCGTCGACGCCG